CATTACATCTTAAGTTACAAAGCTAAACCAGGTTATTTTACATTATGTTTTATGTTTGAGTTTGATTACCACTGAACTCTGAGGTTTTGAGGGTCTAGCGCATCTGCCTTGCTAAATGTCAATCTGTCGTCACTTTGATTTGTTGGCCCTGAAGGACACATTAAGTACTAACAAATAGTCATGTCAGATTAGTTCTGACTTACATATGTCTGTTTGATTTAGAGCCACACTCCAGAAAAGAAATGCTATAGGGAAAGGGGAAGGAGGTGAAAGGAGGTGACCATGTTAAGAGGATTATCGGTTGAAGTGCAAGCAGAGCAGTGGTGCTTTTAGTGTGGAGGAAGAAAAGGAAACAAAACAATGAAAATGGCAAACAGCATTAACCAAAAGAAGGCCGTGCTATAAGTGGGAATAATTCAGGATGAAGGTTGGACTGAAAACAGATTGTATTAAGACAGAGAGAACGATAAGACAACAAAAAGATCTATCCGTCTTTCAAAAATATAATACAAAATTAGCTTTAAATGAAGTCAATATTATGTGTTAATGTATGTACTGTAGATGTAATGCTTGGAAGCCACCCTCCTCATTAAAGTGACCCAGTGATGTGAAAATCCGTAGCTGGCCAAGTCTAACCCTAACCCTAAAAAAAACTGAAGGGTGATGTGAAATGGCTGATTTAGTGTGTTACTCTTTACTCCCTGTGGTAAGCGTGTCAGCATTGCAGCAGAGCAATACAAACACCAATATAACCACCACAAGAAAGAAGGCAAAAAAGCATGGGCTTTTAGCTCCATTTAACATGATTTATATTTCAATCTAGAGAGTAGAAACGATTTAAGTAATAATAGCTTTCCTTATTTAAGCTGTGTAACCATGCATGGTTCACACAACAGCAACTTCTGTACGTGAAATCCAGGCAAATATTTCAATCACTTTCACCAATGCCAGTCACACAGAACAATCTTTAAATGTTCTCTGTACGTCACTTTAATGGTGTATTTCCACGATGCACTCATTTTCCTTATGGTGACCAATATCAACATGTTTGCAAATTATTGTCAGCTGATTTTCACAAATAATAGCAATAACGTTGTTTAACTGAGCCAAATTTGAATGTTTACCCATCATTATATATTTTCACCGATAGCTTATTGAATATAAATTGCTGCAATCTGCTACTTATTTCCATGCAACGAGTGAGTGATGGAACCAGCTGGGGACATAATAAGCAGGTACCTGTCCTACATAATGAGCAGGACATAGTTAGATGGTGATAGAGAGTTATTGTGCTTTCGAGTTTCAAATGCGTCTGTTAGCTCTGGCACTATTTGCTGTGGTTTGTTCTTGTCTAGAATGCCAGTGACTGGCTATAAGATCTCTAATCTACAGGACGTATGGCCTCATCTTATACTGCCTTATCATATTGGTCTTGTTTTAAAGAAGTGTTGCTTTCTGATGAAACACTGGTATAGCAGGCACTACAAGTTTTCTCTGTAATTTTCTATTTAAATCGCAGATATGTTCGCAATATCCTGACATTTTAAATGTGTTCCATGCTGCTAGAAAATGTGTTCCAATTTCAATTCAAAGGCTATATCACGGCTGGAGACTGTAGATTAAGTAGATTCATTTTGTATCTGTCTGGGGAGAGTTGTCCCTCACTGGTATACCCTTATAGACGAGTGACATACACTGCGAAAAGATACACAACTGTACTGTCTACTTATTCATTTCTGATTGAAATAACTATCATTTTATGTTAAAATGTTGCAATTGAAAGCTATAAAAAAAAAAAGTTTTTTTCTACCTTCCAGCGAGTATTCATTTATTTTCATTTGAAAAGAAAATTAACTGGCAGGTACTCATATCTTGCTATTTTCAAGATGGTAGGCTGGTGTGTAATCAGGCTGTCCCCTCCCCCTTACCATATAAGAATGTTATAGCTGTGTACGACAGCCAGCGTGTGGTTACAGTCGGCTGGCAATTAAACACAGCGTCCTGTTGAACATTTGTCACAGCTCAGAGCACCTTAAAAGTTAATTGGGCCTCATACTGATGTCACTTTAAAACCAATTTGAGGTAATAGAAAGACAGACTGATGTACTTTATATCTAAGACCTAGAGTTAGACCCTAAATAGCTTTGAAGAATTGACAAATAGGGCAGCACAGATCTAGTATGATTCACAAACAGAGCTTTAAAGGAAGGCACTGCAAGGCCTAGCCTGTAGCGTTTTAAAAAGAACAATAAATGGCTCCTTGTAAAATAAAAAATAGATCTATAAATGAAGATCTTACAACTCAGTAAAAAGTGTAGTTTTTCGAATGTATTATACGTGCATAATTCTAAATGCAAATGATACATTTGTGAAAATCCTTTTTCCCTTTGTTGCCACTTTTGAGGTGATTCACTCCTAGTGCACTTCACAGACAAATGATTGATTATACAGAATTAATTGCTCTGCGGTCCACAGTTTACATGCCAACTCTATTATCTGTGTGTTTTTGTGTACATCCCCTGTCTGTGTGTGTAGGCAATAAAATAATCAAATGAGTCAGATGAGGTGCCGGTAATGCATACACATCAGTATTTACAGGCTAAATGAAGATGTGTGTCTGTAAGTTGTGGTTTGCTCTAGTGACAACTAAATTAATTGAAACAAAATTAAGAATTGCCGATTTGATTTTTGCTGCTGCTGCTCCTGTTTTTTTATGTATCACATTTAAGAACTAGCCAATAATGGCCTACCCAGAAATAAAACATAACGATAAAGTTGAATTCCCTAAAACTGTTTAAACAGAAACTGAATATGATAACCATCATGAAAGATGTATTGCAGGAATGTAATAACGGCATTTCAATAAGTTCAGTATATCAGTACTTCAGTATTTAACTATGACAGTTGTGGGATGTGGAGCGTGCATCTTTGTATAACGTTTTAGTAAAAAATTGAACATCCTGAAAATCGAATTTCCTGCAGGAAAGATTTGGGGCAAATTCCCTGTAAATACTGTGACCTCAATTCTCGTTATACAACCTTAGCATAAATGAGGGCAACTTTAGATGACCTTTTGCGAGACTATATTTGTTTCCATTGTGCTGTATATCTACTGAAGCTGTTGCTAGTTATCTGCTTGATTTGTTGTGTGTTAGAACTGCTTCCTGCCTTACTATCCTTCCTTCTGCATCAGGATCCCTGGATATGTCTGCATGTTTGCCTGTCGGATAATAACTATGAGCCCTCACCATTATAACTTATTTTACTCTAATACCCAAACTGTGTGGCTGTTACTGAAAACATGTAAAAGCAAACATTTAAGTGTGTTTTAGCCTGTTTTGTCTGGACACCTTAATGCTGGCACCTTCATAAATCCCTTTGCAGAGATACTCTAAGCTGAACCTTGGGATGAAAACACATCACCAGCCATTAATACTCTCTTAATTAAATACTTTACAGACACGTATTCCTTTATAATAATGGACAACAATATGACATATTTTACACACAATTAAAATCCCAGTTTTTAGGGGATTTATTTTTATTATTATTATTTTACATATTCACATGTTTTTTTTTAACTGTTTAATATTTAATCATCTCAGAGTTGGTTCTCTGGAGGGATCCTGTGCTGATTTCATTCAACGAAGAATTGGAAAGCACTGCTGAGACATTTTGATTTCATGTGGGCATTAATGTGTTACAGACTGTAGCAATATGCTGTAAGACAGGTAGCATGTCAGATCATGTCACATTATGTTTTTCAGTATACTGCAGTTAAATATTTGTGAATTAGTGGTTGGGTTAGGAGATGATAAATAAACACAAGTGTGCTTGTTTTTGTGTAATGCATAATTAATTAAGCTATTTTGACATGGTTTGAGTGGTAGTAAATAGATGGAACTTAAAATAAATATGTGTAGTTGAATTATACATCAGTATAGAACATGTGACATGAAATACAGTGGCATGTACATTTAACAGTTACTCAAAGCACTTTGTTACCTTGCTGCGAGCCTAGCACCTACAGTATTATTGAGCTATTAAGCCTTCACATACAGCCTGAGATCACGTGGCTGTACAGAATCAAAGCTAAAGAGCAGAGGCACCTTTAATGCCAGGATATCACCTGTCTAAAGAGCTCTGTCCAGTAACTGTAGGTCCCTTTCATGTTGTTTACTGTGTTTTTCAGAAAAGCAGCAACATAATACATAATTCATGTGTTTATTTTACTGTTGTACATATTGCAGTTAAACATATTGAATATAAACATCTTGTACAAGTAGAATAGCTAAACAGATAATATATGAATAGATACATTAGGTAGCATGTCAGTTTTGATATAAAACCAATAAACTCAAATCTCAGGGATTCCTCCATCACAGTTTGACTTCAAATGAAGCAAAGAGGAAATACACAGCGTGTTGTTATTTCAATACATTCACTTATCTTTTTATTGTTTATGTTTTATTTGAATGTTGCGATATATTTCAAGTTAGATTGGAGTCATAACCTGATGTGTTTAAAACACAAGGCCTATAGTTGAAGATATAGCTAGTAAGTCATTTTAAAATACAGAAGAACAGGAATTGCCATACTTGAAATCACTGCTGGATATATAGTAAGAAAGTAATGAGACTAGATTTTTTATGCTTTGATTCAGAAATATTTTACATTGCAACTTCAGACAAATTTGACATTACATTGTCAGATCAGGAGGTATTGGATTAACGTGATTAACAACATATTTTAAAGGCATATTTTACAAAACACTATCTTGTTAATGAAATGATAAAAAGATTAAAAATAAAAATGCAAACAACATCATCAGTTATTTCCAGTGTTTGGAATTAATGGTCAATGCTTGAATTTCTGTCCACTATAAACATCAACATCCTTGATAGGTATAAAATACTTACACACCAAATAAAACCTGAACTTGGTAAGGAAAATGTCATACATAATATGATAAGAGCGTACAGCACAGAGTAGCCGTAATATCAGCATTGTCCATAGAAGAAGGCCTCCTTGAGACTGTCCAGTGCCTCCTCCTCAGTTATCTCCTTCCACTCATCAGAAATATATGCTGGTTCCTGATTGTATTCCTTTGCAAAGCTCTCATTGAACCTTGCCCACACATACCTGTAAATTATGGAATATTTAGCTCAGCTCATTAAAAAAAACATTTGCATCTAAACATTTATATTTTATGGTGAAAAGCATGCAAATAAAGAAAAAGTACTTATATGTTAAACGTTAATAAACATCATAGTACCTCCAATAAGCACATGGCATCTCAGTGTTTGGGTCCCCATGGGAGATGCTCCAGTCTGGGTAGAGGGAATGGAGGCTGCTGCATGCTACAGACAGGTCTTGTTTGTCCTTACTCATGCCTGGGTTTCCCTCTGTCATACCTGAGTCATGGGGCAACATGTCTTTGGGCCTGTGGAGCAGAGCCTTGTGAAGCTCATGCCCCTCTTGCAGCTCACAGGGGGCTCTGCAGAGAGGACAGTGCTGGTCACAGCCTCTTACTCTTTCAAACAAGGCCTCTTGGGGCTGGATTATAGGGCACTGAAGAAGTTGGGTGATCTCAACATTTTGAGAGAACTCCTGGGCTAGTTCCAATCTCATTGCAGCCAGTAACTCCATTAGACATGTGACAAAGCGATCCCATTCCGTGGTGATACTGAAGAAAGGTCCGTCCAAACAGGACCTGGCCTTGACATCAACATCTCCATCTTTCTCTAAAATTAGGCAAACTCTCTCCAGTAACGGCTTTGTATCACTAAGTACTCCACTGGCACCTTCTGCCGTTTGGCTCACTGCTGCCGCAATCTTCCCTACAATTTCCCCAAGTCTCTGTTGCCTCCATATACCAAAGTTGGATGATTCAGAGAGATGAGCCACCACCGTCTCCTGGATCTTCCTCACTCTGAATTTGTCATAGTTAAGCAAATATTCCTTGAAGCTTTCAAAATGGTCCTCCTTCACTAGCTCTTCCATTAAGCTTTGATGAAAGGAACATGGGGACTGATACTGCTGGGCTTTATCTTGGATATCTTTAACAATTTGCATTCCCAGTGGTCTATAAATATAGTCTAACACTGTAGGTTTGACAACCATGGAGGTAAATGCTTGAGCCACCCTCTGGCACTGATCTCTCTTCCTGAACTTGTAGATGAAATCTGACATGTACTTACTCTTGGTTGCAGTAATAGTTGTCAAAAGCAAGCTGTCCTTGGCATAGCGGTCATGTAGTTGTTGGAAGTCTTGGCATGCAGCGCTACAGAGATAAACTTTCAGATCCACTTCAAACGCTGATCTGATTTCCATAGCTTTTTCTTTCAAGGCTTTTTCAACATTTTCCAAAAGTTCTGCAATATAGCTGTCAGAGAAATCTGCTGCTAAACTAGACTTATCTGCTACCAACTGATTGTATTCTTCTTTGACCTTGCATGCTACCTGTTGAGCTTCTATCCTCTGCAGTCTGTTGTTGTCTTCAAACATGTGCTTTAATCTGCTGCGGTATCCAAAGTGCTCATCATTAACTTGGAAGCCCGATGTTTGGTTTTTGCCAATAACTTCAAGTTTTGTCATGTGTTTCTGGAGACCACAGCGAATTAGATTATGTTTCAAAACATTGGTCACTCTTGCAGTAATATCATCTGTTTCTGATGGCCTAAAGGCAAAGTTGGACAAAGTCTTACTCCACACATCCTCAAACTCCTCTTCTAGTTCTGTATCTTGAAGGAGAACTTTAGATGACTTGCTGTTCTCTACGAGTGCATGCAGTTTAGATTCCTGTTCTTTTTCCAGTGAGTTCTCAAACCTTTCTAACTGTGTCAAAGAACAATGGCTTTCGTTGACTGTCCCCAACCTTTGCACCATCTCTTCAGTGACTTCCTCCTGAAGGTGATCCATATTGCTCATTAGGATTGGCTTGAAAGTGTTCATTTCGAGAACGTTGTCTTTCATCAAATAGGCATCTGCTTTTGATCTAAGCTTGTCTACCTCTGTTTTGACTTCCTCTCTGGCTTCAGCCTTCAGCCTTCTCAAAAGGCTATTTTGGATTTCAGCATCCAGAGCCTTTGCCTTTGTGTCGAAGATTGTCTCTGTTGCCCCCTTAAGCCAGCTCTCCATGTGTTCCAGGCAACTATGCTCCCACTGGAAAAACTCGGTGCACAGTAAACAGAAAGCTAAAGCTATGTCAGTATTTTGCAGACCAGTGGAGAATGATTCTGCTTTCACTGCATCCCAAACCGCACACAGACGGCTCATTAATTCAGGCAGACCAGTGGCTTCAGACTTAGCTGCACACTTCTTCAACGCCCCAAACAGGTTTTCCTTAAGCTTTAACAGAGTCTCACTATACTGTGTGTCAATTGGTTGAGAAAGGGACATATTGCACCAAGGCCCTTTGACACAGGTGATACAGCTTTTGGTCTTTGCATAATGGTCATCAGCATTGCTAGTTCCTCTGTCCCTACTCTCAGTCTGTAGCATATCTGATACACGTCTTAACTGTGATGCTTGTAGTAAGCAGTGTATTCCTTCATCCTGGGCCAGGAGTTGGCAAATGGGCATGGAACTAAATTCTTTGATGCGTAGGAGAGCATTGACTGTGACAGTGAGGTAAGTTTCATACTCAGTACCCACGTGTGAAGAGATGTTCTGCAATAAAACATCACTCAAGCCTGCGGCAACAGTGGCCATCTCATTGTCGTGGATCAGCACATTTATTTTGTTGTCCAGAGACACTGAGCAGAGACCTTCTACATCAATTAAAAACAGAAAGTCACACTCCATTTCCTTTCTTAGCCGATCAGGCAGACACAGGGCAGCCATGTATAACCCTTTGGTGGATCTTTTCCTTCCTTCAGGAAATTTTGCCCCAAATAATTCAGAAAGAAGCTCAGCATTCCAAGCATGGTGTAATCCAAGATTTGTCAGCACTCGGGTCCTGCACTGTTTTTGAGGTAGGCGGAGTTTGAGCTCTGCAAAGACACATGCCAGCCAGCGCATTGGGATGTTTGAGGCATTTCCATCCATCAGTTCAAGTGGAATCCCATATAGAAGAAGGTCTGTAGCTAAACTAGGGAGACGCAACACATTGTGGCTCCCACTCCTGGGACTGATGTGTGTTAGTTCAAAGATTAAGCCCATCTCACGCAAAAAATGCTCAAGTCCAAGCGTGGACTGATCAGGCTCCAAAAGCTGTTGACATGAGTCTGTAGGATGTTCAAAGGAAACATCTCTGCCTGGATCTTTTGTTGACTCAACATGTTCTTTCTGTTGTGACTGTGGCTCTATGGTTTTTTCTGCAGATGTTTGCAAAATGTGTACTAACCCTTGGCTTATCTCCACCTGTTGCTCAGAATCTTGCAATTCATGATTCATGAGCTGCTCTTCGGTGTTATCTTCCTCAGGTGTCGAATCTGTGCAGAAACGATCACTTTCCCCTGTGTCATAATTGACTCCATTTTGGAGGTTATCACAGTGTTCTGGCAGGCCATCTTTTTTTTCTGTCTTCAGCTTTGTAAATAGATCTTGTGGACTGTTTTGTTTTTCCATTTGATTAAGACGAAGCCTCAGCTTCATCCAACTAAGAAAATAGGTCCTCTCCACTTTATCTGTTGCTGAAAGCGCGCCGGTGAAAATCTTCATTGCTGAGGTAATTTTGTAGCAGCTCAACTCTATCAAGATGTCTTTCTTTTCTTTTTGCAGTTGTCCGTCAATTTCTTTTCCTTCTTTTCTTTGCTTACTTTCCTCCTTTTCCATTTCAGCAAGTTTGCTCCACAAAGACCCCTGCAGTGGAAGCTGTTTGTCCCTAAATTGAGCAGATCCCTCATCTAAACCTTGCAATACTTTCTCCACTGTAGCCATTGCCTTTTTGCAGATTGCCCCTTCGTCTACATTTAGGCCTAGCTCCTCTGCTAATTTGGCTGCTGCCTCAAGTGTCACAAGTTTCAATTCATCTGGTAATAGATCTTTCAAGGACCCACACAGCGTGTTAGCCAGTTCCTCTTCACTCAAATCCCTACCGTGTACCACTGATCCTCCAGGAAGCTCCATGTATTCTTCAAGGTTCTGACCAGCAAACCCCACGACCCTGTTGTCATTGTTCTCAGCATCTGATAGGTCAATCAATATGAGCTTGTGTGCCATATACTTGCAAGATGCAAGAACTTGTTTTTCTTTCTCCCGAAGATTCCCACAGAAAACCACCACGGCTGAAGACGCTTGACATAGAAGGCTGAGGCATTTTTCATGTTTACTGGCATCACCACGGAGGTTAGAGATGACCACAGGGACAGGAAAAATGTCTCTGACAGGGTCACCAGTTGGTAGATACCATCCAATCTCAACCAGGCCATTTGAGAGTCTTCGGGGAAGCTGTCCTCCATCCATCCCCCTGTGGAGAAATGTGTCACAGGAAGATCCGAGTCCACCTATTACATTGTTTAGCACCTGTGACTTAGAGACACCACTGTGACCAAGCCTCACACAAGAAACTACTGGCATGTATGTACTCGCCAAATCCCCCCCATAGACCTTTCTGTTATTTTCCGGAAAGTGTGATCTCCATTGAGTAACAGCACCTCTCAAAGGCCAAAGAAGGAAGCGACTGGCTTCTTCTGGATCTTTATTTGGAAGGACCAGGGGCACAGCAAACTGGCATTGTAACATACGCACAGTCATCTCCTGCTGAAGAAAAGTGTTAGCAGACATAAAGACAGCTGTTACTAGATCAAGGGGGTTGACGGCACACTGGCTTTCTTCTTTAAAGCCATTTCTAATTTCCTCAGGTGAATTGTTGGAATTGTTCAAAACATCATGCAGAGGTTTGCAGCAAGGACTCCGGGCATCTTGGCTAAACATCCACAAGCGTTGTAGAAAGGCATTTGGTAGATCCTTGGGCTCAAGAGGGGCCTGTTTCTCCAGAGTCCAAGTGCTGATGTCCAACAGAGACGCTGGGTCCAGTGGTGTAGTCAAGAAGGCCTCTAGTCCCAGGGTATTGAGAACCTCTGCCTGGGCATTGTCCTTTGGAGGTTCTGGTTAACAAAATAATCAATAATTTAGCCTTTGGATGTGCTACATTTTAAAATTGCAAATGGTTTTATCCAGTTAAATGTGGAATAAAATGTAATATGATCAGAACTTAAATCCAATCCAAGTCTTTATTTTAGCTTGAAGTGGTAAAAATGTTTTAGTCAAACTTTGTAAAATACTCAGAAAAGCTTAATTATTTATACTTCACTGATGATTCTTCATACTTCAAAGCTGCTTTTGTGATTATTGAAAATGTGAAAAAAAAGATTATTACTATTTAGTTCATGTGTGATGCATGTTTTTGAATATAAACATCTACTGATTTCTTATTAATTCTTAATCTGTACACAAACTTTCAGCTGTTGACTGTGACACATTTTTATCAAGTTACGAGACACTTTGATTCTTTTTAAAGCTCCCATGTCATGCTTTTCCGGTTATTACCCATCCCCTTGTGTGTTATGAAGGTTTTTCTGCATGTAAATGGTCTGCAGAGTCAAAACCCTCAAAGTACACCCTGTAGCGAGTAAAAAACTAACACAGAAAAGACCTCCCTAAAAAAACGCGTCGTTGGAGATACGTCACTGTCCATTGATTCTTCCGGGTAACTCATGATGTCATGTGTTTCCCGGAACCAAATGGACCAATCCGTGGAGCCGTTACGTTACGTCCGCGGAGCCGTTACGTTAAGCCTCCGCAGATTGGTCCAAATTGACCAATCCACGGACTTCCTCACACACACATGCAGCTCTGCTGATCTCTCCTCCCTGGCTGCAGGCTGATAACAGACAGTTGGGATCGCGGCGAAATTCTCTCTGCAGACCCATTCTCACAGCGTTTAACAACCTTTTTCTTACTCAATATCAAGCGACACTTATTGTTTTTACTTCGGCTGTGACTTTGTGTGTGCTCAGGGTGAGTTTGGCTGTGTTTCGCTGTGTATCGCTAAACAAGGAAACCACACCTCCACGGAGCTCAGCGCGATTCACAACGTAAACCAACCAATCAGAGCACACTGTGCTCACAGGGAGGGTGGGGGCTGGAGCTATTGGAGCTACAACGAGCCGTTAAGGGCAGAGAGTGAAATTCAGTGAATACACGTAGTTTACAGAGATGCTGTATGAGAAACCAATGTGAGTTTGGAAAATTGCACAATATAAATCTATTCTAGTAGACCTCAACAATGGAATTATGATCAGTGGAAATGGCCATGACATGGGACCTTTAAGTGTTTCTTATAAGTGTGTGGTCGCGTTCTAGTCACTTTGCTCAGCGCTACTGCTTGTTACAACTTGTATTTGCCGTACTCGCCATGAACTGTTATTGCTCAGGTTA